TCCAAAGTAGCATCATCTCATCTCATCTTCGGGATAAATACCTCCGTGTATTTAAATCCGTTACACCCTTATGTCCACATCATAACATTGAAGTGTCCACTTGTGTCCATCGGGTTGAGCAAAATTTTTCGTCAACGTAAACGCGATTTTTTGATGAGTGCTGGCGGTGGTGGTGAATTCTTCTAATGGTCAAAAGCATTTGCATCAGAAATCTAAATACATTTGCTGTCGGAATACTTATTGAAGTGTTGCGAATGTTAAAAGCCAACTGCAGTAGAGAATATCCATTGGCCACCGCTGATTATATTATAGGGTCAGAATTATTGATTTTTTGCTTCATATACCCTATAGCATGCCAAAGGGGAAAACGGTGGCAATTTTTTAAAACAACAAAACTTTTTAAAATTTCTTGAGTTTAAAACAATGTGTACATTTGTATATAAGAGATTTTTATAGTCTTATTCATATTGCAAATATTTCCCAGTATTTACTTTTCCCTCCTTTGTGGAGTGTGTGCATAATTCGACACGAGCGAACCTAACTCATGGATTATTTATACCATTGACAAAATATTCGTATATTTGGCCATGTGGTACGTCAAAGTGCACATGCAACTGAATTTTGCTGAGCAAGGAAGGCATTGAATGTGACATGTTACTGTCAACATTTGAAAAATAAAACATTTGACAAATTTCATTTAAATTCCCTTTTGTAGAATTTTATGATAGATTTGATGGATTCATGTAGTGTATACAGTTATTGTTCATGTGTAAATTTTATTTAAAGGTCTTGTATTGAATACAAAAATTTAGTTGTGTAATGTTGCATGGGAGGTGGAATATCAGAACATAAATTTCCTAAAAATATACTTTAGTCTGGGAAAAATATTCTTTAAAAACTGCACACCTATAGCTCGACTAGTCTGGGAAAAATATTCTTTAAAAAATCCATGCCTATATCCCGAGTAGTCTTGGAAAATATTCTTTAACAAATCTATGCCTATAGCTCGAGTTGTCTGTGAAAAATTACTCTTTAAAAAATCCACGCCTATAGCTCGAGTAGTCTGTGAAAAATTACTCTTTAAAAAATCCACGCCTATAGCTCGAGTAGTCTGGGAAAAAAATTCTTTAAAAATCCACGCCTATAGCTCGAGTTGTCTGGGAAACATAATCTTAAAAAAAAACCACGCCTATAGCTCGAGTAGTCTGTGAAAAATTACTCTTTAAAAAATCCACGCCTATAGCTCGAGTTGTCTGGGAAACATAATCTTAAAAAAAACCACGCCTATAGCTCGAGTAGTCTGTGAAAAATTACTCTTTAAAAAATCCACGCCTATAGCTCGAGTAGTCTGGGAAAAATATTCTTTAAAAAATCCACGCCTATAGCTCGAGCAGTCTGGGAAATTTTTTCTTTAAAAAATCCACGCCTATAGCTCGAGTAGTGCGGGAAAAATATTCTTTAAAAAATCCACGCCTATAGTTCGAGTAGTCTGGGAAAAATATTCTTTAAAAAATCGACGCCTATAGCTCGAGCAGTCTGGGAAATTTTTTCTTTAAAAATCCACGCCTATAGCTCTTGTATTGAATACAAAAATTTAGTTGAAAAATGTTCTTTATCCACGCCTATAGAGGTCTGGAAAAATATCTTTAAAAAAAATCCTTTAAAAAATATAGCTCGAGTAGTCTGGAAAAAATATTCTTTAAAAAATCCACGCCTATAGTTCGAGTAGTCTGGGAAAAATATTCTTTAAAAAATCGACGCCTATAGCTCGAGTAGTCTGTGAAACATAATCTTAAAAAAAATCCACGCCTATAGCTCGAGTATTCTGTGAAAAATTACTCTTTAAAAAATCCACGCCTATAGCTCGAGTAGTCTGTGAAAAATTACTCTTTAAAAAATCCACGCCTATAGCTCGAGTAGTCTGGGAAAAATATTCTTTAAAAAATCCACGCCTATAGCTCGAGTAGTCTGGGAAAAATATTTCTTCTAAAAAAAAAAAAAATCCACGCCTATAGCTCGAGTAGTGCGGGAAAAATATTCTTTAAAAAATCCACGCCTATAGCTCGAGTAGTCTGGGAAAAATATTCTTTAAAAAATCGACGCCTATAGCTCGAGTAGTCTGTGAAAAATTACTCTTTAAAAAATCCACGCCTATAGCTCGAGTAGTCTGTGAAAAATATTCTTTAAAAAATCCACGCCTATAGCTCGAGCAGTCTGGGAAAATTTTTCTTTAAAAAATCCACGCCTATAGCTCGAGTAGTGCGGGAAAAATATTCTTTAAAAAATCCACGCCTATAGTTCGAGTAGTCTGGGAAAAATATTCTTTAAAAAATCGACGCCTATAGCTCGAGTAGTCTGTGAAACATAATCTTAAAAAAAATCCACGCCTATAGCTCAAAAAATCCACGCCTATAGCTCGAGCAGTCTGGGAAATTTTTTCTTTAAAAAATCCACGCCTATAGCTCGAGCAGTCTGGGAAATTTTTTCTTAAAAAAATCCACGCCTATAGCTCGAGCAGTCTGGGAAAAATTACTCTTTAAAAAATCCACGCCTATAGCTCGAGCAGTCTGGGAAAAATATACTTTAAAAAATCCACTCCCATAGCTCGAGTAGTCTGTGAAAAATTACTCTTTAAAAAATCCACGCCTATAGCTCGAGCAGTCTGGGAAAATTTTTCTTTAAAAAATCCACGCCTATAGCTCGAGCAGTCTGGGAAAATTTTTCTTTAAAAAATCCACGCCTATAGCTCGAGCAGTCTGGGAAAATTTTTCTTTAAAAAATCCACGCCTATAGCTCGAGCAGTCTGGGAAAATTTTTCTTTAAAAAATCCACGCCTATAGCTCGAGCAGTCTGGGAAAATTTTTCTTTAAAAAATCCACGCCTATAGCTCGAGCAGTCTGAGAAAATTTTTCTTTAAAAAATCCACGCCTATAGCTCGAGCAGTCTGGGAAAATTTTTCTTTAAAAAATCCACGCCTATAGCTCGAGCAGTCTGGGAAAATTTTTCTTTAAAAAATCCACGCCTATAGCTCGAGCAGTCTGGGAAAATTTTTCTTTAAAAAATCCACGCCTATAGCTCGAGTAGTCTGTAAAAATTACTCTTTAAAAAATCCACGCCTATAGATCGAGTAGTCTGTGAAAAATATTCTTTAAAAAATCCACTCCCATAGCTCGAGTAGTCTGTGAAAAATTACTCTTTAAAAAATCCACGCCTATAACTCGAGTAGTCTGTGAAAAATTACTCTTTAAAAAATCCACGCCTATAGCTCGAGTAGTCTGTGAAAAATTACTCTTTAAAAAATCCACGCCTATAGCTCGAGTATTCTGTGAAAAATTACTCTTTAAAAAATCCACGCCTATAGCTCGAGTATTCTGTGAAAAATTACTCTTTAAAAAATCCACGCCTATAGCTCGAGCAGTCTGGGAAATTTTTTCTTTAAAAAATCCACGCCTATAGCTCGAGCAGTCTGGGAAATTTTTTCTTTAAAAAATCCACGCCTATAGCTCGAGCAGTCTGAGAAAATTTTTCTTTAAAAAATCCACGCCTATAGCTCGAGCAGTCTGGGAAAATTTTTTTTTAGTCTGGAAAAATATTGTTTAAAAAATCCACGCCTATAGCTCGAGTAGTCTGTGAAAAATTACTCTTTAAAAAATCCACGCCTATAGCTCGAGTAGTCTGTAAAAATTACTCTTTAAAAAATCCACGCCTATAGCTCGAGTATTCTGGGAAAAGTATTCTTTAAAAAATCCACGCCTATAGCTCGAGTACTCTGGGAAAAATATTCTTTAAAAAATCCACGCCTATAGCTCGAGCAGTCTGGGAAAATTTTTCTTTAAAAAATCCACGCCTATAGCTCGAGTAGTCTGGGAAAAATATTCTTTAAAAAATCCACGCCTATAGCTCGAGTAGTCTGGGAAAAATATTCTTTAAAAAATCCACGCCTACTGATCGGGTAGTCTAAGAAAAATATTCTTTAAAAAATCCACGCCTATAGGTTGGGTGGAGGTTGAAAACAATTCTTTAAAAAATCCTCGCCTATAGCTCGTGTAGTCTGGGAAAATATTCTTTAAAAAATCCACGCCTATAGCTCGAGTAGTCTGGGAAAAATATATTGTAAAAAATCCATGCCTATAGATCGGGTAGTCTGGGAAAAATATTCTTTAAAAATACACGCCTACAGACATCTAAAAATCTGGAAAAAAATAATCTTTAAAAAATCTACAGGCGTTGCTGGATAGTCTGGGGAAAAAACCTTTAAATCCAGTCATAGTGTTAGAGGATCCTCAAAAAGTGGACTAACTGTTATAATGATTTTATTTTTTTCAGAGGTTCCCCTTCTGTCCCATTTAAAAAACACTTGAAGGAAATGTTCGGTTTTTTTGCACTTTATTTTCATGTGTGTATTTTTTCTTCTTTGAAGTACAAAAATAAAAGATTTTCTTTCGGGGAATAATTAATTTCGCAACAACAAAACTTATAGTTTTCTTTGGAGTATTTTTTTTAGAAATATTTATATATATAAATATGTATATGTATATAATTTTGATACATCAACTAAAACTAGTCAACGAATTATGAATTATTGAATTTGTTTTAGAATCGTTTTGCAGATCACTTAGTAAATAAGGAAATAAATAAATAATAATACACAATTACAAATATAAATAGTAAGTAGGTGGGTGGATGATTGGTTGGTTGGATCTACGAGCTTACGTAGAAAATCGTACAAAATATTGAAATATTTTACAAAAAAGATGCAGGGGCGGGGGTCATGGGATAAATGGTTGATTTCTTGGCTTGGGGTTTGCATGGCATTAACGCATACAATGCACGCTCCTCCTGTACACAAACCCACTGCGGTAGTGTAGAAGCATCTGATACAAATGTTGTACATGACAAATCACCCTTTGTGATTTGGATAGGCCAGGCGGCAGAGAACAAATGGCCCCCTACTGGTGGGGACTGCACACTCTGCACATCCTCCATTTTCAATCATACGCTTACATGGCGGTAATCATGTGGCTGTCATCCGGCTGGTTGTCGGTGATCAATTTCGACTTGGTCTTCGAAATGTCGACAATCTGTTGTTTTTTGCTGTCATCTGTGCGGTTGGTATCCCCGTCATCCTCGTTGACGGTGTCTGTCGCATATGAATTGGGTGTCGTTGGTGGTGGCGGTGAATCTCGTTCCTCGTTCTCTTCGTAGATGACATCGCAATTTGTGGGTATAGACTTGGGTGGTGGCTTTTTAATTTGTTTTGTCTTTTTGTTGTTGTTGACGTTCGCATTGTTCTGTTGCAATTCATTCATTTGGATTTGCATTTCACGCAGGCGATCAGTCAGCAAATACATATCACGTTCCTGCGACTCACATCGTTCACGCAGTTCGGCAATTTCCCGTAGGTCTTCAGGACGAGGGTCACGACGTTCATAACGCATGCGCATCTCTTCGAAGAGATTCGTGAGGCAGCGGCATTTTCTATGCAACTGTTCGATTTCGTTGGCATTACTAATATCCCGTTTGTCCAGGGCGATCTTCTCGGCATCGTAGGCAGCCTTCAGATCTTTCAAGTCACGTTTGTAGCGCAGCTCCACTTCTTTAATTTTTTCCTCAGCATCGAACATTTTCTGTCGATGTCTTTCGGCCAATTCCTGCAGTGCCTGTTCCTTTTCGGCTATCAATTTCGCCTTCAGTTTCTCCAGCTCCTTTTCATGTTCCCGTTTCAATTCCTGGGTATTTATTTGCAACTCCTTGGCAAATTCGTCCTTCACTTGACCCAAACGTTCACGGAATTTTTCTTCCATTTCTTGTTTTTCTTCTTCGAATTCATTGCGCAACTTCTGTTCCAAAGCTTCTCGTCTTTCCTCCTCCTGGCACATGGCCTTTTGATAGTCACGATCCGCCCGATCCAAATGCATGCGGGTCTGTAGCAAAGCATGATCTGATTTCTCTCGCAATTCCAAAAATTCTCTCGATTTACGTTCAAGTGCCTCTTGAGCCTCGGCCAATTCCGCCCGCAGTTCCTCCTCATTGGCTGTATAGCGATTTGTCAAAGCCTTCAACTCTTCGACATGTTCAATTTGCAATTTATCCAAGGCATCGCGACGCTCATCCACATAAACCGATTCAAGTTCATTTTTCAGTCTTGTCATCTCTGTGTACAATTTATCTTCCCAAAATGCGGCAGCCTCGTTGCGAACTTCATCGATGCGATAAATCATTTGACGTTCCTTATCATAGATAGCATTATCACAATGGTATTTTATTTTTGTCACCGCCTCAATTTGTTCCTGCAGACTGCTGTTGGCTGTTTCCAACTCTTGTTTGAGAGATTCGATTTGTGACATTAGCGATTGTATGGAGTTGGCCTGTTCGTTGACGACACCACGCAACGAAGTGACTTGTTTCTGATAGATTTTCAAATCATCGACTTCTTTACTTAACGATTCTAATTCGTTTTCGAGCAGTTCGACGTTTTCCACGGCTTCTTTGCGAGCGGCTTCAACTTTATCAATTCGTTCCTTGCACTGTTTTTGTGTTTCACGCAGCTGCCATTCACAATCGGTCATTATGGATTCTTCACGTTCTGTAATGGGAGGTAGGGATATAAAATGGCCATTACTTTGAAGTATATGAGAAGAAAAGCTAAGTCTATTTTTATAAAGAATTTAAGGAGGAGAAAAAGCGTATTGTTCAAGATACGAATGCAGTTCGGAAAGTTCTTAGCCTAGCACAGAATGTGCGGTATAAACAGAAAAACCATGTTAAAACAGGTGTTTAAAAAACGCATCCGCAATGGAAAAAATTAGAAATGCGTGCTTTCATTGTAACAAAATTGCGGATGCGTATTTATGTTCCTGTTCCTATATGAAGGAGTTGCCAGATGGAAATAAAATTTAAGATGTGTTCATAACAGAGATGGAAGTTTCCAACACATTAAACTTTTTTTCTGTTTTTACCGTACTTTCTGTGCTAGGCTAAGAACTTTCCGAACTGCCCTCGTAGAAGATGTTTTACAAAAATATTCCTCATTGGTTTTTTTTTTTATTTTTATTTGTGAGGCACAGTGTCTCTAATTCTAAATTCTTGCAGAGGGAATATTCTTTGCAGAACATTTTACATATATTTCTGCCTTAACATAGCTCCAAAACCAGTAAGGAAAGTAGTAAAGTCGGACGGGCCGTTCATATGATACCCTTCACCACTTTGGGTATATTCAACAAATGAACCCTTACAGACGTCGCATTTTTAAAGGACCAGCAAAAATGAAATTGGATCCATAAACTTGTCATTTTGCAACCTATGCTAATTTTTTTCATTTGGTCAGATATAGCTTCTATATATCTAAGCCTAAACCTATTTTCAGGAAACTTAAAACACATCATTCTAGACCTAATTCATTACGCTGTGCCAAATTTCGTGTAAATCGAAAGATATGTAAGGACTTTGGTGAACCATTTACATTTAATAGGACGAAAATATATGTGGGAGCTATATCTAAATCTGAACCGATTTTCAGGAAACTTAACACACATTATTCTAGACCTAATGACATATAGGGACATTCACATAAAATCGGACGAAAGTATATATGGGAGCTATATCTAAATCTGAACCGATTTTCATGAAACTCAGCACACATCATACGCTGTGCCAAATTTCGTGCAAATCGAAAGATATATAGGGACTATGGTGCACCATTTACATTAAATCGGACGGAAATATATATGGGAACTATATCTAAATCTGAACTGATTTTCACCAAACTCAGCACACATCATTCTGCACTTAATACAGAACGCTATGCCAAATTTCGTGCAATCGAATGATATATAGGGACTTTGGTGCACCATTTACCTTAAATCGGACGAAAATATATATGGGAGCTACATCTAAATCCGACCCGATTTTTTTGAAACTTAGCACACATCATTCTAGACCTAATTCAGTACTCTATGCCAAATTTCGTGCAAATCGAAAGATATATAAGGACGTTGGTGCACCATTTACCTTAAATCGGACGAAAATATATATGGGAGCTACATCTAAATCTGAACTCAGCACACATCATTCTGCACTTAATACAGAACGCTATGCACAATTTCGTGCAATCGAATGATATATAGGGACTTTGGTGCACCATTTACGTAAAATCGGACGAAACTATATATGGGAGCTATATCTAACTCTGAACCGATTTTCAAAATTTCGTGCAAATTGAAAGACCAATTTTCTGGAAACTTAACACACACCATTATATACTTCATTCATTACGCTGTGCCAAATTTCGTGGAAATCGAAAGATATATAGTGACTTTGGTGCACCATTTACATAAAATCGGACGAAACTATATAAGAGCTATATCTAAATCTGAACCGATTTTCATGAAACTCAGCACACATCATTTTAGGCCTAATTCATTACGCTGTGCCAAATTTCGTGTAAATCGAAAGATATATAGGGACTTTGGTGCACTATTTACCTAAAATCGGACGAAAATATATATGGGAACTATATCTAAATCTAAACCGATTTTTTCCCAATTTCAATAGGGTTCGTCCTTGGGCCAAATAAGTAACCTATGCCAAATTTCATCCAAATCGGATCATAAATGCGACCTGTACTTTGTTCACAAAAATACATGGACGGACGGACATGCATAAATCGACTTAGAAAGTGATTCTATGCATATTCTCAAAAGGAACCATGTGTCTATCTTGTTTCCTTTTGCCTGTTACAAACATATGCACAAAGACATAATACCCTGTACCACAGTATGGTTAAGGGTACAAATAGCTAAATAAATAACCAATATTTTTATTCGAAGTTTCATTCTGGGGTTCATTCTTAAATTTTCTTTTCCAAAAAAAAAAAAAAAAACAAAAATCCATTACATCCTTTCAACTCACCCATATTTTGTGTCCGTAACATTTCGAATTCTCTCTGCCATTTATCCTCGCATATTTTCCTTTCATTTTCCGAATTTTCCAAAGCACTCTTCAGCAGGGCAACCTGTTCCTCCAGTGATGTGCGTATCCTTTCGACTTCATCGCGCTGTTCCTGGGCATCGGTTTGGGCTTGAGCCAATTGAGTTTGCAAATTACTAGCCAACGCTTGAGTTTGTTTATATTTTTCTTGTAATTCGTTATACTGAGTTTCGAGTTCATCTGTTCAAAAAAAAAGAAACAAACCAGCAACAATAACAAAATGGGGGGAAAGAATACAAAAGGCCAAAATTACAGAGTATTGGTCAATTGCACCTTTTTGCAAAGGAAAGAAGCTAAAAAAACAAAACTAAAAAAGACAAAAAAGCGCTACAAACCATATTTCGTTTTCAGCTCATCTTCGCATTCGTGAAAACGATGGCGTAAATTTGTTTTTTCATCCTCCAGCACTTTCAGCTTTTGGCGGACATATTCATCATCCCGTTGAGCTGCATTTAATTCTCCCTGTAATCCTATTGCAATGAAAGAAATTGCATTAAGTTTTTTATTCACTGTGGGTTTTTTCACATTTATTCTTGAAGGGGTTGGCTTCTGGAAGGGGTGGGCTATGTTGGCTAACCCCTTTTTTTTGATGCGGACCCCCAATTTATGTGTTCGCTGATACCCCAACACTTACTTTCAACATTCCAGGTTTTGGTGGATAATTCTTGTTCTAAGGTTTCAATTTTCATTTGCATTTCATTGATTTTCGTTTGCAGTTGATTCACATTTTTGTGCGCATCTTCCAGTTGTTGAGTAAATTGAGTTTTCTGCTCCAAAAGTTCCTTTCTGCAATGGTGAAAAGTAAAAAAGGAGAAGAAGAAGAACGTTAGTGAGCCAATTGTGAAAATATGTTAATGGAAATTAAAGTGCAGAACATCGATCTTAACATGTTTCCGAATTCATTTTCATGAAGGGGAGAAAACAGTTTTTTTTTTGCATTTTTAAGAAATTAGAATTCTTATCTGTGCAAATGCATGTTAAGCATTTTGAGCATGTCCCGATTTAGTTTATTTGGCGGATAAAATTCAATGTTGCTTTATTAGCACAGAGAGACTTAAAATAATTCTAATGAAGCTTGTTTTATGTGCTAGGCACACATTTAGATTGCAATAAATGTTCGGATTCTGTAACAGTATGTAGAAAATAAAAATGACCTAAGGTCACACAATTTAATAGAGAGAAATAGAAACAAATAATAAGTCCACTTTGTAGGGAAGGTATTTCTGAGTCGATTTATGCATTTATGATGCGAATTGGATGAAATTTGTCACAATTATTTGGGCCAAGGACGAATCCTATTGAAATTGGGAAAAATTGGTTTGTATTTAGATATAGCTCCCATATATAGTTTCGTCCGATTTTTAACAACTGGTGCATCAAAGACCCAAAGTCAGGCCGATTCGCAGTGGGCGATTAGGCCTCGCTAGGGGCACTTAATTCAAGTTTTCAAATTTGAAAAAGCGTTAATTTTTTCACAAATCGATAACAGATGCTTTGATTAGATTTTTGGCGTTTTTGTAAGCTCTACGATCAACAGATCATCAGCTGTGAGTTGTCAAACACAAAATATGTTTTAGCAAGTTCTTTAGAAATATTTTTTGTTGTGTGCATTAATTTCGAGCTCCTTGGAAATTTAAATTTTGTACTTGTTTTATTAAAAATGTGGCTTTTTATTTACTTCAAGGTATGTATTACATAAAAAATCAGTGTTTACTGCCGGTCTATAAATGTGTTGTTCATAAAACGTAGTGGTAATTAAGTGTATTAACATATAGCCCGCTATTGCGTGCACATGCCGTTAGTGGAGTAGAACTTACAAGATTCGCACGGATTAGGTCTAACTCTTTTTTTAGCTGGAAGTATGAGTCATTATACGTTCAAAATGTGTAATATGAACTGCTACTACCTGCTAACCTTTAAATCATGGCACTTTTTAGGAACAATGTCGGTAACAAAACGGGAACTTTTTTTAGTATGGCATGAAGAAGCGATCGCAACCAAGAAGTTTCTCGTCATGGAAAACTTTGTATTTGGTACAGTTCTCAAAAACCTTAAATGTACTCAGGAGGAGCAGTAGAAATTGGCAAAAAGCTGTGAAATTTTACTAGTAAGCTTATAGAAATGTGGAAAAACTGTAGAAGAAAAAAGGTTTAAAAAAACAGGAATGGTTAGATACGCCTATAGTAATCATAATTGGACATATCAAGTACACATGGAATTTGTCAAAGAGAGCCGCTAAAGGACCGATATATCCACTATACGACAAACTGCATTGTGCGAAAAAAATGATATCCTAGTGTCATCACGGTCACTGGTAATTTCGCTGAAGTACCATTACAAAGCTTAGTGGACCATACGATTGCTAGGATTATTGAAGCACGCCCAGAAAGTTTTCAGAATCAAATAATAATAACACCCAATTAACTGATACCTTGGTACCAATTAACAAATACCTTGGTATAATGTCCGAAGAAGCTCTTGAAGGCAGAAACAAGGACTATCGAAACATAAGCGAGAGCAATACAAGAAAAAATTCCAGGAAAAGACAATGGAAGATATTATAAATGATTTATTAGTTTCGTCAGACACTTTGATGTCTTCATTGTCAAGTGGGTCCTCAATTTCGTCTGCAAAAAATATTATTATGGACGATGATGTCAAGAGATATCTTTTAATGAAGCATCTCAATATGTCTGATTCAGAAGATAATTTTGATTTAAAAAATTTGTTTATTGAAGTTAAAAAATAAATTTTAAATTAAAAAAAAAAGTTTTTAAAATAAAAAAATATGTTGGCATTACTAAGACTAAATTAAAGACAAGAATATCCGCACATAAATCGGATCAAAAAGCTCTTTACAAACCCATAGAGCAAAAAACAGCCCTTGCAGCACCCTGCACAAAAACTGGACATACCCCAGATTTTAATGACATAAAAATTCTAACTCAAGAAAGTAATTATCAAACCAGTGAGCGGAGCAGTATAGTCGGACGGGGCCGACCATATGATACCCTTCACAACTTCCACGAAAATTTAACTTTGTGTGGTTCTATATTCTGAGCTTCGGCAATATTTCGCGATATTTTACCCCCTTGACCGACTAGAGGTCAACAAATATTAGTAATATTCAGTACAGCTATTCTAATTACTTATCCAGATTCCTTTCAGCGTAGGTTGTGTTGTGATGTTCGGTTTTCAGTGTGGCCTATAGATCGATTCAAAAAAACACAAAAAATTAAGTTTTCGGTCCACTTCATCCCAAAATTATTATCTGATCATCACCGAAATTTATAGGCGTTGTACTTGACCATAACTGGAACCTCATGGAACATTTCAAAGCGATCAGCGCTATATTTCCGTCCTCTACTGTGGTAATGGGTTACTAAATAATATATTAATACGTAAGCACCTGTAAATATTTACGTGTAACCCCCACATCCGAGTACATACGACAACATAATTGGTATCAATTTAAAGGCCAACCACTCCTCTTGGATATAGTATCAACTTCTCGGGTCTATGTCCTTCAGGTGTAAATATATACGCCATAGAATACAAATTTTGTCATTTTTCACACAAAAGTCAGGGTCCATTTGACCCGCTAAATATTGACTGATCTTGATCAAAACAGGCATGCTTATTTTTTGACCCGATCCTCTTCTCCACGTAAAATTTCACGATGTTCGGACCATAATTGCGGACTCTGGAGCGACCAGAAAACCGACAAAAATTAAGTATTTGGTCCATTTCATTCCCTAAATATTAACCGATCTTTACCAAAAACAATAGGGGTCTTCACTGGCCAGAACCCATCCTACATGCAAAATTTCGTGAAGATTGGTCCACAACTGTGGCCTGTATCGTGTTTACAAATTATAATGGACAGACGGACGGACGGACGGACACACATATCTAGATCGATCAGCTACTCGAGATATGACGATCGGTACACTTAAAGGTGGGTCTAGGACCAATATTTCGCAGCGTTGCAAACTCTTGGGCTGCACAAAGCTATAATACCCTGACAACATAGTTGTGTAGAGTATAAAAATATTCCGATCCTAACAAAAAATTGTTTTCTTTAAATATTAAAATGATATCTTTTTTTGGAAACTATTATTCAGTGAGCGGAATTATAAAGCCGACAATATGATAGCCTACATAACTAATACATAATATTAACGCTATACCAATCAATATTCCGAGTCTTGGCAATATTTCGAAATAATCGAAATCTCTAGTGTTAAAATGGAAATAATAAAGAATTCTAAATTTTGTAGACCCCTTAACACATATTAGTATGCCATGATTTTCAAAAGAATTGATTATTTATTAAAGATCAACAAATCCTCGGCCCTATACTGACAATTTTCATATGATGTAAATGTGTGCCATATGATGTAAATTTTGTCATACACACGCCTTGACAAAAATAAAGTTTCATCCTCCATAAATATAATCTCATTATAATCGAAAACTCCACATATGGCCAATGACGAATAACCGGAACTTTATGTAATTTTTTTTTTTTTTTCATTTACACAAAACTATACACAGGAGCTATATCTAAATATGTACCGATTTTAACAAAACTTCGCATACGTCAATCTGTTGTGTCTCAATCGGAAAACCTTGGATATTTAATGTTTCCTCTGAACATATTTCAACAAAACTTGTCATACCTCATCTGAACCTTATTCAGTACACTGTTCAAAATTTTCTATCAATCGGCCAAGTATTGGAAGTTGGTGTAACATTTACTTCAAATCGGACGAAAATATATATGAATGATATGTCTAAATATGAACCCATTTTCTTCAAATTCAATAGGATTCGTCATTGGGCTAAATAAGTGTCCTGTGTCAATTTACATCCAAATCGGATCATAAATGCGTCCCGTATTTTGTGCATAATACATGGTTAGACTGACATTCATAAATCGACTCAAAAAGTGATTCTATGCATATTCTCAAAAGTAACCTATCTCGTTTCTAAAAGGTGGGCCTAGGGCCAATATTTATCGGCCCTTCAAACTATTGGGCTGACACTCCTATCTAATTTCGGAGACAACATGATATAGGATAATAGACGCCCTCCCTGTAAGCTACTTTCTATCACATAGTGTCTTATTAATAAAAATCCTAATTCATTCTTCATTCATAACTAACAATTCCAAAAATAACAACTGCGTATTCTAGTCCTCATTTATTGCCAATTAAGAAATTTAACCTATTATCCCAAAAAAAAGAAAACAATATGTTTTTGTTTTTGAACTTCACGATTTTTTATGAGTTCCATAAAGACCTAATTTATTTATTTTTTGCAATCTTGCGCTGAAATTTACTTAAAATACAAAGTCCATTTGCGTACACTCTCTTCTTCATAATCATGTCTGTTTTCAATTAATGTGAATGCGGCCGGCCATCGGCAGTAGTGGGGTATGAAAACAAAGAAAATGTTCCCATTTTTATTATTGTTGTTTTAAATGTTTTCTTTTTTTCTGCTGCCTCGTTTGCAAAATATGCAAATACAATTAAGTAAATAATGTATATCTTATCGTAATTAAGATCGATATATTTATTGCCTTGTAGCGTGGAAAAAAATTTAGCATGGAATGGTTTGTGTGTGTATGTGCGAGTGTGTGGATGGGATGGTATTTGAAGGCCGCAATTAGAAGACGTCATCCCAACTATCTGTCGAGTAGAATGTGATGCTTTACTCCACTTCTTCGCTTCCGCTTGAAAACTGTTTTTGTTTTGCGTTCTCATTTTCCAATGGAATAAATTATTAA